GAAACGCCTGTCAGGTATACATTTGAATTTAAACGCGAATAAACGGCCAGTAATACTGAGCAAGTTCCGGTCCGTTGAGACCACCGAGGCCGTGTGCTTCTCTTAATGTGGTAGCTGGTGACACAAACAGTAGAAAAAGGGAAGAAGCACTGGGCAGTGTTCAAGTAAAAAGTAACCACCAAATGCGATTTGCAAATGCTCTCACTTTCACGCACCGGGAAAGAAAAACAAGGACTTATGGTGTTCCCCCCCTCCCCATTGTCCTCGCCATCCACCCCTTTGTTCCCGTATTTCGTTTCCTTTCTTGTATCCCGCTCCTCCCTCCCTCCCTCCCTCCCTCCCGCGTTCCCTCCCTTCCCACCGTCCTCGGAAGACCGGTGTCGTGTACAGCTCACATTCGAGAGTTGATTTAATGTCTCCGGGCCCAAGGAGACGCTGGCCCTATCTCAAGTCCCGAAGTAATGACCTTAATCCCTGCCCCAACCCTAACGAAGATGATTGCATTTCCTTGAGGAAACTCGACCCCATGCCGAGTCTTACACACAGTAGCCTGACCCCCACCTGAAATTTTTTCAAAATCTCTTACTCCCGCCAAGCTGACGACAAGTATCCCTCCCTTTTCCCAGTGCTTTCAACATCTCCCATCCCCAATACAATCGAAACCCAAGGGACAGATCCCGCGATTGTATTTTGCCCAAACAACTGACCCTCTTTCGCAAAGCGTTCCCGCCAAGAAGACTTTCTCAACCGCCAAGAAAGCTCTCCTGATCATATGGTACACCCAGAAGCAAGACTGATTTGACTTTTATTTCGCAGCAAGCTGAAGACAAATGTCCCGTCGCTCATTTCGACTGTCTCAAGCTTGAGCTCACATCGATTTCCCCTTCTTCATCTTCGTTGTTTCTCCTTTGCGAATGACGGAGACCTGTGACGGCGACATGGGAGAAACATGGAACAGAGAGCGATATCCATGAGCCGATCGAGCGTAGCACTCATCGCGCAAACTCGACGGGTAGTACCTGGAGCGGTGGAAACTCGGTCCGGCACGTAGCATCTGCTATGCTTCCGTCAAAAATGCCGTAGTCGATGTTGAAAGTATCGTCTTCAAACTCTTCTGTCACGTTGATCTGGTTGTCATCGGCGAAGATAAGCAAGATGGGATGGAGTAAGGGAATCAGTGACTTGTCCGCGTGTACGAGGACAGGTAAGTTGTCAGACAGAGCATCTACCCTCACACTCTCCAGACTCACCTTGACCTTGTACGATACCACCCTTTTTGACTTTTGTAATGGCGACGTCAAAAAGAAAATCTCGTCGGCAAAGTCATCCACTTGGATGTCGGCTGTCTTTGCGCTCGGTCCCTTTGCGCTCACAAACTCGATTCCAAAGGGAAGGTCCAGAAAGATGTTGGGGAGAGATCTCTTGTTGTACGTTGTCACTCGAATCCTGGTGGACAGAGTGGTCTTGGGCTTTCGGGCCCTGATTACCACCCTTTTGCGCGCGGCTTGCTTGTATTTGAAACGAGGGTCACAAGGAGGCAGCAGAGGAAAAGTGGTCGACCCAGGCTCAGGGATCTGGATTGCACAGCTGAAGAGGCATTCGCATCTCTAAATCGTGGGTAGATATTGTGTCATGGGATGGTTGGCCAGGTATGGTTTGACAGCACGGGTCCATGACACAGGGGAAAGGATGACTGGAGCACGCGTCCCAGCTTACCTCCTCTTCGGGAATCAGTGTAAACCAGTTCACAAGACCAGGAAAGGAGACCTGGCACTGCGTCGAGCATTCCTCGGGGGTCGTAGTATTCAGGAAGAAGCCCAGGTAGTTTGCTATTCCACGTGGTCATGCAGGTCAGAGAATAGAAAA